TCACTTTTAACACTTTTTTAGTCTAATTATAAAAAAAGAATTTAATAGTAAAAAGATTCATTTAAATTAAAATTTATAAAAACATTTACTAAGGATATTTTAATCAATCACTTTTAATACCTTTGGAAGTGAAATTTTAAAATTTTAAATAGTTTAATTTCATATAAACTTTATTTTTAATTTAAGTTTATTTATAGTCAACTTAAATAAATTGATAAAATTATATATTTAAAGATAAAGTTATCAATTTAAAAATTTATAAAAGTATTTAAGTCGATACTATTAGCACTTTTAAAATTTATACTTTTATATATATATGAGATATTTAACAAAGCTAACAAAATATATTTCGTATTTTCATATCAACATTAATTATAACATATAATTTTTATGTAAAATATAATACAAATATATAAATTTTAATATTTTATACAAATCATCAAATCCAACTTCATCCTGCTAAAAAAAACACCGATTACCATGGTTTCATTAAAAAAAAAAAAAAACTCCAAAATATGTGATACAGGCCCAAAAGATCCAAAGGTTGTAAAGTTTAAAATTTGGGCTAAAAGCCTATAAAATTCTATTTGGATTAAAAAAAAATAAAGGAAAGAAAAGAGAAAAAATAAAAATAAAAACTCTAGAGGATAGAAGAGAGGTTGGAATTTCAAAGATTAGTCTTGTAATTGAAGGTTTGAGGTAATATTATTAGTCTTTCCAATTTTGGTGTTTGTTATAAAATCTCATGTATCATTTTAAGTGTTTTAAATTTTAAAAAATTTCAACATCATTTTGATGGTATGACGAGTATCAATGGAAAGCTTTCATAAAAAAATTTATAATGATTTTGGTGGCAATTAATTTGGTTGAACATTTAGGGAGATTTTAATTTTTGAAATTTATTGAAAATAAAATTTTGACAATTTCAATGATCGATCACCGGAACTCCACTTTCAATCCAATTTCAAATAACATTTTGAATCGAATTTTGGATAGCTGTTATAGTATCAAATGTGATCTTTTCAATGATCTAACTAGTTTGCTCAAATCATTTTTGTGCTATGGAAATCAAAGACTTAAATAAACCAAATTATTTTGGTTACACAAAAATTTTCGATAATTAGTAATGATTTTAAAAACTTTAGCCTCCAAAAAATAATATTTCGATCATCTACTCGAATTTTGGTTAACTTATCTTTGATTGGACAATTTTAAGAAAAAAATTATTTTTCTTGAGAAAATTTATAATAATTAAAAGCCATTTATCCATCTTAGTAATTGAGGGAGATTGCATTTCATTATATCACTGAGTCAATTCTTCTCGATCCTCCTTTGCTCTTTGACCCTATGTTATTGTTATTCTTTCTTTTTCTCAACCAGGTATATGTTAATTAATCAGAATTTATTTATAAATTGAAATTCGATTTCATGTAAATGTTAGAATTTATTAAAAAAAAAAAGAATATTAGAATTTATGGTCACATAGAGATTTGTGGACACTCTTCCCTCCCTTTAAATATCTTTATCTTGATTAAAATTACTAGAAGTAAATTCCCATAAATTTAATTTTCAATAATAACATTCTAACTAATTATTTTATGCAAATTATCTTATATATCAGTAGAGTTTTTAAAGTTTACCAGTTAAACTGGCAACACACTTGCCTTGATTGTATGATCATTAAACCACAGTTGAAAATGCTTAATATAGCATGCTTCTCTGCAAACTATAGCTTCGCATTCCCTCATTCTCTTCCTTCAAGAATTAATTAGTATGATTAAAGATGATTTTTTTATTTGCACAAAATTTATGTAGAATTCTTCTAATGAAGTCAATGAACTGATGCCTTCATATTAGATTTAGTGATTCATGTATTTATATCATATAAAATATTAAAATTCATATAATATTTTATATAAAAATTATATGTCATAATTTGTATTAATACAAAATATAAAATATAAATATAATTTTTTATTTTTATTAAATCTATATATTATTAAAATTTTAAATCATATTATTTTTATATTTTATTTTTATTTATATTTTATTTTTATTTATATTCATATAGTGTTATCATGTCAAATTTTAAATTCTCAAATCTATTCGTGATACTTTTGTATCCAAAAAAAAAATTTTTTAATATTTTTTCTTCAAAGAGTTCTGCTGATCAAAACTTAATCACTACCTATCAATGAATTTGCTTGTGATACCAAAGAACAATTCAAGGTGGTAATTAATTTTAGAAAAAACATGCCTTAGATATTAAAAAATATATTATTCTAGGCTGGCTACTCTCTCGCCATTTAATTACCATTTAAGATCATGTATCCTTATCCATGGGATGAAACATCTCATGATGACATGCTTGCCAGGTTCAAGTTCCAATTATGTTTCTCTGCACATGTATATCTCTCAAATCTTTTTCTTTTGTGGCTGTCAATTGTATGATCAGGATCTGGGACTGGAAGCCTGGACATAGCCAGCTAGCTAGTTTCTGCAAAAGAGGAATTCAGCATATGCATCTTCCATGGCCTGACGAACCTAAGTCATTTTTGGTGGAAAACAACATTGTGACCCCTACGGGGATGGAACGAGCTCCGTGGAGCCCGACCTCAGTTAATGAGATTGCCACTTCAAAAATCCTGAAAAGGAAATATGCTTAGCTGAATTCAACAACTGGTCACATGCCCTGTAGTGAATCTTATTAATGATATATTTCTTGGGTGATTTAAGGGTCCATTGCAAGCCATGATTATGTCACTTGCTTCTTTCGAAATTCCATTGCGCCTCGATTAGGACCCGACCACCACTCGCGATCGACCTGTTTTCATTATTTTGCATAATTATCCTTTTGCCGACTTACTCGCACAATGTGCCTTGCATCTAGCCTGGATTTCATGTTTGATTGTTGATCTCACTTGTTGATCTTCTTATATTGATATACATCAGGAAATTTTGACAAGTTTTGTTCATAACTTAACAAGTTAACATTAACTACAATGGCTCTTGTGGAGCAAACATGCTTGGCTTGATTTGCACTTTGGTTTGAATCAATTGAAAAGATTAATTGGATCAAGCAATGACCGCCATAAATATATCGTTAGAGTTCATTTGGTAGCCTGATAGATCACAGCCACAAATTCAATCATAAGGCACCATCTATCACCAGGTTACCAAATAAATTATTAGTAAATCAAAACTCTACTATTTTTACATAATTTTTCTTGAAGAGAAATTATTGAATCTTGAAAAAGACATCTCATGTATCAATCAACAATTATTTGTACCTCATGGCATGAAAATTGTAGAAAATGGGTTATAAAATACATTGATAATCTTATTAATTAAATCACGTTTTAGCGCTTTGAAGTACTTCTAATTATATAAATGAAAATTTCATCATGAGAAGATTTTTATGATTAATTATTGAAGGAACCACACATCTGCTGTGTGCTTTAGATTGGGTTGGTCAAAGTTTAATCATTGTGAAAATGTGTTACCATGGAATATATGATGGAAGAGTTTACGTGATTGCATTTGTTTGCTAGCGAAACGAAGAGTGAAACGAAGGCTACTGCTCGACGCAGAAGAAGCCGAATTGCTGAAGCAATGTTTGCAAAAACCAGCATAGCTGAAAGCAACGTAATTGTTGCCTCTCGATAGAACCCTCCACGCCAAGAGCTATTGTTGTGATGAGTTGGCCTCACCGTCGTGGTATTGTCAATATCTTTGGCCAAATTACTAAAATTTCCTTCAGCCCACGTGCCCGACAATGTGTTCTTATTGGATTCAAGTAGGAGATTATTATTTATTAAGTTGTGTGGAGCCTTATTACTATAATTCTTACGTTGAAAGTGAATAAGTTGATGAAAAATAATGCTTGATGCGTCTATTCATTTGAATGAACTTTTTGGAGTAGATTTTGTCAATTTTAGAGTTTATTATATATTTGTTCTCGTTGGTGTTTAACTTCGAACTCAGAGTAAAGACTTTGAAATCATAAGAGAAATAGGGCGATTAAGAGCATAATTAAATTATATTTTTTACATTTACATTCCAACTACTCAAATAAGAAGTTGATTAAAAAAATATAAAAAAAATTAAATTAAATTAGATAATATCTAAATAACTTTATTTATAAATAAAAAATAAAAAATCTATAAAATATAATAATGATATAATCAAACTAACATAACATTTTATGTGTCAAGTTGATTTAACATTTTATGTGTCAAATTGATTTAACATGTTAGATCAACCATTTTTTATTGACAAATCTCTAATGAAGAAAAAAAAATTTATCCCCTCAATCCGCTATTGCTTTCCCTTTAATAATGCTAATTAGGATCTACCTAAAATACAAAGAACATGTCCCAACCTATTGTGTTTCGGACAATTTTTATTGGATTCGACTTTCGAATGTATGAATAATACTGCTTCATTATTGTCTATGGTTAGAAATGAAACTTCATTGATTTCTACAACAAAAAATAATCATGAATGCTAAAATTAATCTTGTGGTTTACCATACATCGGCTAGGCGGATGATTGATTTAGTCCATGGCATTCAATGAAATATTAATGACTTCATATCTCAATCTCCTCTTCTAATATGAATCTTTGATGAATTTATGGATATATACATCGAATTGCTCTTTCAACCTCAAAGGTGTCACTTTGGGTACATTCATATTTGTCGCTTCAAGATTTGTTGGCTTTGGTGCATTAGTTCAATATTTTTCTTTAGAAAGAGAGTTCATTTTTATGAACATTTCTTCAACTTCAAATTCGTGTTCATCGGGAACAAAAGTGGCATGGTGTACGACTTACAGAAATCTATCTGCTTATGAGAAGGATCTTTCGACATGAACATACAAATGAAATGCTCAAACAGGCATGTAGCAGTGGTGCAGAAACAAAATCTTGTAATTAGTTAAACCCACATTTACGATTGGATTATGATCGTTACATTTCTTGATTGAACTCTTACACCAGAGCTTTGAAAACAAAAAACATATGATATAGATAGCTAGGTTCTTATGCTGATACACGTTTTCCCTGCAAAACACCCAACAGAACAGAAAAGTGGGGGAAAGAAAGGACAAAAAGAACCAGTTCTACTTTCTTTTCCCCAGCCACATACTTTTTCTTACCTTGGAACCACTTCGAGAAGTAGTAGCTCCTTTTGCATTGAATGTCATCTGTTCTTTCTCTTCTTTATTTTCTTTCTTTTTCATTCCAAGCTTTTGCTTCTCCACTGATTTCTTAGCTTTCTTGTCCGAGTAACAGTTGCCTTCCTCTTCATCCTCGTCATGCTTGAAATAGGACGTGCCATGACCTCCCTCCATATTTCCATGAAACTGAACCCCTTGATGGCTTGGACCAGAAGAAGCATCAGAAGCCATGGAATCATCACTGTCAGCTTCGTGATTGGCATATGTTTCATCAGCATGACCACCAGCATAAGCATCATCATCAGCTTCACTGTGTCCATTGTCATCGTCGTCGTCATCACCACCTTGTATGGGGGATCCAATGTACATTGTCCACCCTGATTCACTGCTATGGCATTCTTCTTTGCCTCCAAAGATTTTGGAAGGCTCCATTACTGTAGGCAACGGGAGAGGGAGAGTAAACTATAGAGCAATACACCTAGAATCAACTAGTGACAAAAGCTTTGAGTTCTTAAATATAGGAAATCAGGAGAGCTGTATTTAGACGCCTGAGAAAACGTTCCTCTCCCTGTCCCAACCAGCTTTCTAGACAATGAACAGATAAACCCATCTCACTTTTTGAAAGCTACACAAAACCACACTATCTTAAATGGCTAGGATCGATCGGATAATTTCACCACCTGGAAATCTATAGACCCATTAATTCTCTGACTTTGAATGAGCAGAAGACAGCTAGAAGCTGCCAAAGAAAGTGAAATTCATTTTACAAAAGGCATAAATACCAAAGTTTCTTGAATTCGAAAGGACAAGGGTTGTTGGTTTATTAGTTTTCTCTAAGTGAAGACACAATCTTCATTACTTCCCTGCATTTGCCATTAATTAAAATGGGATGCTTTAAATGCTAAGACAGTTTGGCTCGGTCTACAAAACTATGGAGAATATAAGACTTTTGCATTAAATAAGTCTAGAACAAGACCTCTTCACTACCTCCATTTAGCTTTCACACATTTCGTTTCTCTTTATCCTGTCATTAAAGCTTGAGCAGGCTTTTTACTTGAGATTAAAAAGCAATACGTTTAGAAGAATGAGACCGTGAGTGAGGAACCTGTCCAAATATCTTTCTGATTCTGCTCTTCTGTCCTCCTCTAATTTGATAGTGCCTGTCCTCTCAAGCAGTAGGATTATGTCTTGTTTTTATTGGAGGAGGAATATGGTCTTTTTGAAAAATCCAGTCATTTTCTTCTATAGTTACGAAAAGTGATTACCACATTTATCTATCAATGAGTAACCATGACCATATTTTGTCTTTATATAAATTTTCATTAAAACTTATGATATAATTTAATCTTGAAATGAGATATCCTCATCCAAATTTTTCATGATAAAAAAGTTTTCAATCTATGAAGATTCAAAGATTCAAGTTCATACAATCTATAAACCTCAACAGACAAAGTTGCTTATTAAACATGCTTTCATTATAAAGCTGATTCAAGATGCTTTCATTATAAATGAATCACATTGATGGATGAATCAATTGGCTGGACACCATGTTCCAGCACTAGTCTAATGCTACAATATTTTATTTTCCAAGTACTGAATGCTGATGGGTGAAATTACAGTGATCAGACAGATAACTGCCAGAATTTACTTCCGCATTCACTATTGAAATGACCCCTTGCTTCTTTTTTACATATGTTGAGATGGCCGATGGCCTCCTTGTTGCGCCTGAAGCAATAATCACAACAATACAGAAGCAATAGACAACAATCAATAATCAAATACGCAGGAAAAATAAAGCACACCAAGATTTACGTGGAAAACCCTCCAGTGTAGAGGGAAAAAACCACGGGCCACCAGAAAAATCTTCACTATCAAATAATAGTTATACAAAGTTCTTCTCTAGCTAAAACTAGAGCTAATCAACAACTAGAGAAACAATTGGAGAAATCTCACCAAATAAGTGACTCAACAAATACACCCTGGATTTGTTTCTAGAGAGCTTCAAACCCGATCTTCACCGTTCAGAATGTAGAACTCTGAATCATAAACCTCCTGACAAGGTTCCAACTCAATCGGACCACGGATTGACTTCCGTTCAACCAACTCTCCCTTCTCCTTTTTCTCTCTCTGCTTTTCCTGGCTTTTCTTCTTTCTCTGCTTGGTTGTCGACACACACCTTAAACAACCCCACCTCTTTTTTATTAAGTAGCTAGGGCTCTGTGTAAAATAAAAGATCAAGGCCCATGCCTTTACTTGGTCCAAAACACTTACATGGGACTGACCCCATTTTCCTAACAATCTCCCCCTCCAGTCCCATTAGAAGGAGATTCATCACCATAGCAATTTCATTTGGAACTTACCTTGGCCAGGGAACTCATTCCGGCCAAGTTACTGCAAAGCTCAAGCTTTTCCCTGGGAAGTATCTTAGTCAACATATCTGCCACATTTTTATCAGTATGGACTTTCTTCAATAGCATCTGCTGTTCTTCAATCACTGAACGTAACCAATGATATCTAACATCAATGTGCTTTGTTCTAGCATGGTACATGGTATTCTTACTCAAATCTAAAGCACTCTGGCTATCACAAAATACCACATACTCTTTCTGATTCAACCCCAATTCAAAAAGAAAACGTTTCATCCAAAGCATTTCTTTACATGCTTCAGTTGCTGCAATATACTCAGCTTCTGTAGTTGACAAAGCAACACACTTCTGCAACTTAGACTGCCAAGATACAGCTCCTCCTGCAAAAGTGAACAAATACCCTGAAGTAGATTTCCTACCATCAAGATCGCCTGCCATGTCAGCATCAGTAAACCCTTCTAGAATTGGTTGTGAAACTCCATAAGTCAAACACATTTTTGAGGTACCCCTCAAATATCTAAAAATCCATTTTACTGCTTCCCAGTGAACCTTCCCTGGATTAGAAAGAAATCTGCTCACTACACCAACTGCATGAGCAATGTCAGGCCTTGTACAAACCATAAGATACATTAAAGAACCGACTGCAGAAAAATAAGGAATACTAGACATAGCTAGTTGCTCTTCCTTAGACACTGGACAAGATTTCTTACTTAGATGAAAATGGTTGGCAAGTGAACTGCTAACTGATTTAGCATGTTGCATGTTGAATCTACCAAGCACTCGTTCAACATACTTTTCCTGTGACAACCACAGCTTTCCAGCTCTCCTATCTCGGATAATGTCCATACCAAGAATCTGCTTTGCTGGACCTAAATCCTTCATATCAAAGGACTTAGACAATTGTTCTTTCAACCTGCAAACCATACTAGCATCTTGTCCTACAATCAACATATCATCAACATATAATAATAGGATAATGAAGTTACCATTAGGGAATTGTTTAATATACACACAAGAATCTGCTGCTGTTCTTTTATAGCTATGACTCATCATAAAAGAATCAAACTTCTTGTACCACTGTCGCGGAGCTTGTTTCAAGCCATACAAGCTTTTCTTCAATTTGCAAACTAAGTGCTCTTTCCCTTTCACTTCAAAACCCTCAGGCTGATTCATATAAATGTCCTCCTGCAAATCACCATGCAAAAATGCAGTTTTAACATCAAGTTGCTCAAGCTCAAGATTCAAACTAGCTGCCAATCCCAGTACCACTCGAATAGAACTCATTTTTACAACTGGAGCAAAAATCTCATCAAAATCGATGCCTGGTTTCTGAGAAAAACCTTTTACTACCAATCGAGCTTTGTACCTCACTAGTTTGTCACCATCCTTTTTCAACTTGAACACCCATTTATTCTTTAATGCCTCTTCCCTGTTGGAAGTTTAACAAGATCATAAGTACCATTCTTTCGCAATGACTCCATCTCTTCTTTCATTGCTTTTAACCAGTGCTCTCTATCCGGAGTAGCCTGCACATCTTGAAAGCTTTCTGGCTCCCCTTCACTGGTAACTAAAATAAAATCTGAACTTGGATACCTGGTAGATGGCCTGCGCTCTCTAGTAGATCTCCTGAGCTGAGACTCTACATCACTTGATGCTGAAGGTAGCTCCCCCTGCTCAACACTCTCAGGTAGAGAGGATTGCTCCCCCTGCTCAAAACTAATAGCATCTGGCTCATCACCCAACTATGGCTGGCTCATTCATATCCCCAAGTTCTGTTTCTGGCTCATTTTCACCATCTGTGGCTCTTTCCTGTGAAATCCCTGTCGGTGTTGAAACATCACACTCAACAGTAACTCGTGTAGTCTTCTCATTTTTCTCAAGGTCTGCTATGGTTTCTTTTTCATGAAAGACCACATCTCTGCTTCTGACTGTCTTTCTCTTTACTGGATCCCATACCCTGTAGCCAAATTCCTCATCACCATATCCTACAAACACACACTGTTAGCTTTACTATCAAGCTTTGACCTCTGCTCTTTTGGTACATGCATGAATGCTTTACACCCAAAAACTTTTAAGTGAGAGTATGAAGCATCTTTTCCTGTCCACACTCTTTCTGGAATGTCAAAGCCAAAGGAACTGATGGTGACCTGTTAAGTAAATAACAAGCTGTGTTGACTGCTTCACCCCAGAATGGCTTTGGTAATTTTGCCATCCTCAACATACATCTGACTTTTTCCACAATGGTGCGATTCATTCTTTCAGCTATACCATTATGCTGCGGTGTTCCAGGTTCTGTCCTCTCATGCCTGATCCCATGCTTTGAGCAATACTCTTCAAAGCTTTTAGATGTGTATTCCCCACCATTATCAGTTCGAATACACTTTAAGGGTAACCCTGTCATCCTTTCAACCATGGCATGAAATTTTTGAAAATACTGCAGTACCTGACTTTTATATTTCAACATATACACCCAAGTCTTACGTGAAGCATCATCAATAAAAGTAACAAAATATCTGCTACCACCTAATGACTCAACCTCAATGGGACCACATACGTCAGAATAAATTAATTCCAATCTATTTTCTTTTCTCTGAGAACTTTTACGAAAAGAAACTCTATGATGCTTACCAAACAAACAATAATCACATGAATCGAGAGACATACCTTTGGTCAAGGGAATGAGAGAGTGCCTTGCCAAAACCTGTAACCCTTTTTCACTCATGTGTGCCAGCCTCCTGTGCCACAAGTTTGCTGAAGCATCATTTTCAACGGTATTTACCTGGTTACCGTTCAATTGCATCCATGTCTTATACATTGTGCAGCATAGTTTTCCCCTTGCAACTACCATAGATCCTTTGAGAAGCTTCCACTGTCCATTCTTTTGTCGGCTTTCATATCCCTCCTTATCAAGGACATTAATAGCAAGCAAGTTCATTCTCATATCTGGAATGTGTCTGACATCCCTCAAAGTCAACATGCAGCCTGTACTAGTTTGTACAACAATATCACCAATCCCAACAATCTGCGACACACTCTTGTTTCCCATCTTGGTACAACCAAAGTCTCCTGCTTTGTAAGTTGTAAACAACTC